AACACTGTTATTTTATTAAACACATTTTGGTTACAAAGATTCATTGGAGAATCTTTGACGTACCTTGGAATATTTGTAAGAGATTATTTTTAGGACGACGAACTGTTCTATATAATCTCTGATTCCTTCTAAAAACTACCACTCGGATACGGATCAAACGGATTTTGATCACAATATCTTTTTTTGTAAATTGTAATTATTTTAAAATTATAATAAATAAACTAAAAGGATTGTTATCTTGCTCTTTAAAAAAAAAAAAAAAAATTTAAATTTTTTAGAAATTTTTAAAAAATATTTTTCTTGTTAATTTTTTTTTAAAAAAATATTTTTGCTATAAATCTTTTAGATAGATTTTTTATATTTAGTTACAAAATATACAAAAAAAGTATTTTGAAAAAAAAACAAGTAAAATTATTGCTTGTTTTATTAATTAAAAAACCAATATTATCAATAAAAATTTATAAACTTTATTATTATAAAGATATAAAAATTTTAAAAAATATTTGTTTTTGAGTTGGCAAAAGAATTAATAAAAAAAGATTTGTATTGTAATATTAATTTTTTAATATCAATAAAATTAATTATATATATATAATTTTGTTTAAAATAATTCTTTTTTTTAATTTATTTCAATTTTTTAATAAAAACTATATCAATATTAAAACAATATCATATTAAAAATCCTATTAAAAAGTTTTTAATAACAAAAATCTTACAAATAAAATTTTTTTATAAAATCAAAACTTTTTCAAAAAATCAAAAAAAAAATTATTATTATATACTGTATACATATTTTATGTAACTTATAATATTTCTATATTTTCTTAAAATAATAAAAAAAAAAATAAAATTACTTTATTGAAAATATCTTTATATTATATATACAGTATATATATATATATTTTTCTAATTTTATTATTATAAAATACTGTATATACTGTAATTACTTCTTTTTATATCTATATATATATTTGTTTATTTTGATTTGATTTAAATAATCAATTATAAAATATATAAGATAATAAAGATTAATTACTTTTATTAAATAAATTATAAGGTGATATACTGTAAATATAAGCATAATCTATATATAGTTTTAAAAATAACAACACTATATCTATAAGTTTATTATTAACGACTTGTTATTGCTAGACCAATTACCTTAATACAAATTTAATAAAAAACTTAAGAGAATTTTTATTATAAAGTTGCATGTTTTTTTTACAAATAAAGTAAAACTCTAAATTTATCATTGTTATGTATTGTTTTTGATTAAACTCTATAATACCCAAATTGACTCTTTCTTGTATATGAATAATCTAGAATTTTAAAATGACAATAAATATTCACCTTATTCAAATGCTACTTGTGTTTATACATGCGTCTTAATTGATGGAAAATTGTCTGTAAAAGTTTCTCCAAATAGCAAATTCACAAGTAATTCAATCCTGTTCATCTAACATCATTTTGAGTTGAGCTTCGATTTTCCCGAAAATTTCCTTACGCCATACAAGGTAATCTTTATACAATTTTGTTTCCGTATAACTTCCCTTATTCTAAAGTAATATTATGCATTTAGTTAGAAAGTCAAGTTTATCTCATCGACTAAATATAAATACATACCTTCGTTTAAAACATCGCTTATCTGGAAAGAAAATTGCAAATATGTACCCGGTGGAAAAACATGTGGTGGATATCTACAGAAGTTAAAGGTTAACAATAGCAATAATAATGATATCAATAATTTAATGTTATAATAACTCACAAAGCCCATCGTTTTCTTCCAGTAAGAAGTGTGTTCCACGCTAAAAGATATTCGAATTATATTAAACGACTCATTTAATAGAATTTGGAACAACTGTTGAGAATAATTCATACCTGAAGTACCAGAAGGATCAACATGCCACGACGCCCCTATAATAATAAAATGTAATAGCAGGTTACATATAGAAAAAAAACGCTAATAGATTACAATTTTGTCATTTACTTCGATAATAATTATGATAACTCTGCTTTCACTGGTTCTTCTCTCAACCTTTTCTCCTAATGCTATCAACTTGAAGACTCACCTGACCTTTCAGGTCCGATAATCATCCATCTGTGTGGTGGTCGTTTTTCGGACAAGGTTTCAAAAAGATCAACCTGGAAATATTTAGGCACCTATCCGCAAGGAAAACAAATTAGTTAAGATTATATCAATTTTAAACTAAACGCAGTGATTTAATACCTCATAGGCATTAGCCATTTCGGGATTCCTATCAGCAAATTCATTGTCAAACACGTACAAAGG